GAAGAAGAAGGAGAAGGAGAAGGAGAAGGAGAAGGAGAAGGAGAAGGAGGAGGAGGAGGAGGAGGAGGAGGAGGAGGAGAAGGAGAAGAAGAAGAAGAAGAAGAAGAAGAAGAAGAAGAAGATTTCAATGCGAACAGAGGCAGACCTGCCTTACGTTGATATATTTTCCCACGTTCCACTTTACTCATCTGTGAACTTTCTCATTTTATTTGATAGCCTACATATATTATGACAGATCGATAAACCAGTAGTTTGGTTGATCGAAGCTCAACAAATGCTACACGCCTACTCTTCCAAACCTTCACGGTCCAATTCAGAGCAACGGCAATTATATTATCGCACCCCTCACCTCCCTCTAAACAAATAACTCACAACATTTTTATGCAACACACACCGGGATCCATTCACATAACCTTCCATGTCAGAGCAGATACCACCCCCCCCCACCCCCACAGTGATATTCCCCGCCCTCATAATTATGATTTCGTTATCCCTATAAAGGGAACTATGACGTCACCTCCTGGCTGAGCCTGAACGAGAACGGGACCCTCCCACGCACTTGTCGAGAACATTTCCCGTTCACTGTATGTTGACCAGATTGGGATATGAGCCTACTTAGAGCATATGAATACTGTTTCTCCATGCATTGTTAACATTACACCGTATGAGTATGCAATATTGTGCAATACTTGTAAAAGAACGATTTTATTCGGCTCAAGAAAGATCATGGCTTAGCGTTTTAAACAAAATAGACGCACGTTTCCCACATAAACAAAGACAGCATAAAATCTGGACGAAAATCCTTTATGTGTCATCCATTTCAGAACCAGGCCAAACCGTCATCATAACAATACACACATTTCACCAGCTCTATCATCGGGACATTTTAATTAAATGCGGGTCAGCAATTTGTTTTGGTCACATATCTGAAGTGGGGATATTTTCCAATCGCCCACTTGCAAGATCTAAAATCCCATTCCCAGGATGGCTACAGGTAAGCTTATGGTTTCGTGAACGCCCGTCTGCTAGCTGCAAGATCTAGCCTAGCCCAGCCTAGAAAGACACATGAATGTCCTCATGATGAACCCAGCGTTCTCAGGGCCCGTGCATGCAGTAGATCTAGCAAGAAGATCTAGTTCTAGTCACTGTTTGAAAGACAGTCTACGTGTTAGATCTAGTCGATCAGTTAACTGTCACGTTACTCCCCAGTCCGGTATGATCTCAGTTTAGACCTGTGTGCAAAAGGTCTTGATATAGAATCTAGATGTCTAGATATTAGATCTAGAATCTAGATCTAGATCTACCATATTATTTATTGATTGGCTTGCCTGATGGCAAACCAAGACTGGCGCAAGACCACAAGTCGACGTGGTATAATTTACAGATCTACATGTGCCGGAAAGCACTGAATTTAAAAAGCAGTGATTCAATTCTAAGATAAAGTAAAACATGTGACATTTTTAGTTGGTCGCAGTAAAAAAATAAAGTTGTTCCCGCATCCGATACGGACTTTGGGGATTACCTTGTTATTGAGACAACTTCCTGGGCCTTGAGCATATTGTGGTACGGTGGCCAGTTCCTTTCCACATCTCCTTTACTTCCCCAACTTGAAGTCAGGTACCCATAACTTCTGGGCGGGCAGAAGGGGGCGAAAAAAATCCATGTCCGAATGGAGGCTCGAACCTGGACTTTCCGCTTCAGAGAAGAGCGCACTAACCGCTCCGCCACCACCCTCTTTACATACTCACAGTAAAGAATAGAATTTTAGAAATCTGCCTTAGTGGAATTGATGGCACGTAACTGACTCCATCCTTTATTTTTTCCGGCTCTGGACAGAGAATTATTTTTCCCTGTTCAGTTTTCGACCTGGGGTGTTTAACTATCACTCATTCCTGCCCGTTTTTCACGTAGTCTGCCCATCCAGCCTGCTGATTTTAGGGTAATAAAAAAAATTCATTGTGTCTATTGTATGAAAGCTACATGGATGAAATTTTAAGTTGTAAGATATATATATATTAAGATATATATATATATATATATATATATATATATATATGAAAATGCAAACACAGATTTGTGTTATCTGTTATCTGTTTGTTTTTACAAGCGTTCAAAAATTGAACAACATAATCTTTTCGGACGATATGCCCTTTTTGAACTGAAGGAGGTCATGTTACATTTACAACTGTATTTTGTTTATTTTTCGTCCAAATGAGTTCTCTCAAAGACTCAATTGCAGGGAAATAACCACTGATTCTTTTTTCCCCCTTGAACATTAATGCAGTTGTCTCTCTTATACCGCTAAACGGCCGTAATTACCCCCGTGCCACCGTGCCTCTGTGGCTCGGGCAGGAATGAGTGAGTTAATGCATTACTGCATGTAAAGTTCTTAGTTACTCTAATATGTATATTATCATGCTAAACTGATAGAGGAATTAATAGAGGAATCTGTTTTTATCAATAACAATGACCTATTATATTGTATTTTGTATAGTATTTCCCTCAGATAAAAACTGAGTAAAAAAAAAGTGGGCGACACCTCTTAGAAAATTTAAACTTAACTCATTTTCTCAGCTCTACTAGTCCTTATAATAGGAATCAACACAAAATTGTAGTGATATCTCCCTAGCTTTCATTTATGCAAGAAATTCACAAATTTGGTTGAATATCTTTCACTGAAGGGCTTTTTTATTATACGAGGCTCCGTGTTGTTTACCCCTACATAGCGACAACAATGCAACGATTTTTGCAAGAATTGCGATTGATTTTGCCGCTCAGAGATTGAGGTCAGGCTTGTTTACAAGTTCTACTTCCTTTCGACAACTTAAAAAGTAGGAACTATGTTAAAAAGTGCACATTTGTTTCGGATTTCGTTGAGCCGCTCACAGTGGTCGAATGGCGGCAGTAGAAAAACCCAATGTCGCTGTCAGCGGCCGAATGGACGGAATCAGTTAACCCTATCCATACGCCTGGGGTCGTTTTGTACTCCAGGGGTTGTATTCTTCACATATTTTAGAATACTTCTAGTGCGAAGATCTCTTTTGAAACTTTCAGTATTTCTCAAAAAATCATTTTGACAGACTGCTATGCAAAGCGTACGGATCGGATTAACGAGTAAATTTTCTCTTTGGAAAGTGGGGGCTCAGAGTTCCCCATGTCATATGGATATGATAGTAAAACACGATGTACGGATAGGGTTAATGATCAACTGCCGTGATAACTTAGGCTGGCTGACCACTTGGAAGGAATATATAATCTAATGGGTGCTGCCTGTGTTAGTGTTACTGTTATTAAAGAGTAGATGCAATTATACACATCCGTCATGATCATTACTGATGAACTAAGTCAAAGATTAAAATCGTTTTAGTTTTAATGCTTGTTTCTATTTTCCTTGCAAATGGATAGAGAATTGGGTACCCAGCTGGTACTACTTAAGAATTTAACTATAGGCCAGCTCTATTCGTACTCGAGTCTGATTAGATTTTATCAGACTCAAGTCCGAATATGGGTTTTATCTGTTCGGACCCGAGTCCGAAAAAAATGTTTGATTTATTCGGACGCGCAATCTCGTTGGTCGACATAATTTACTTTGCCCCCAGCAAGGTCAATTGAATTTAGTTATTCTGTTCATACTAATGATACAGGGAGGGCCAGTTTAGATAGATCTAGTAACTGGATATTATAATATAGCAATGCCAATGAAAATTTAATTTTTCGCTTTAGCCCTTTTTTATCTGGTACCTAAGAAAGAATGTTCAATTCTAAGAATTATGCTTCTTGAATTTTAAGAATCGGTTCATAAATAAAAAAGTTATGGGTTGTAAAGGTCAGCAAAATATGGATGACCCACAAATAGGAAAATATTCCTAAAAGTGGACCATGCAACAGCAGACTCGGTAAGTAAATCGACGATGTCTCAGTAATTAATAGGAGTGTTAGAAAGAAACTTGGCTACCCGATGTGTCTTTGGGTTGAGAAATCATTTCTGCAGTCAGATTTACTAACCATTTCGTAGTTATTTTTTTGTTATCAAAATTTTGATGTACATATTACGATTTTGCGAAAAAGGGGTGTCAGGATAATAAATAATAAATGGCATTTATATAATAATAATAATAGATAGCATTTGTATAGTGCATATCCCCGCTCAGCAGCAGGCTCTATGCGCTTTACACTATATCATTACCCCAGCAGACCATAGAATACTCCGAAACATTCTCAGCTTCCCGGGAAGCATACAGTGCAAGCAGCCGATTAAGCGCTCAAACACTAACAAACTGACAAGATCTTTTGCTGTCTATAGCCGGGTACCCATTCCCACCTGGGTGAAGTGAGGAAAATTCGTGTAAAGTGCCTTTCCCAAGGACACAACGTCGGGCCCTTGACGGGATTCGAACCCACGACCATACGGTTGCGAGTCCGAGAGCCTAACCACTAGGCCACTGACGCAACGTATATATGGTGCTCAACCCCGATTAAAGTACACCGGCTCTGAAGGGGTGAGAGCATTTTATTTATAGCATCATATCACAACATGGGATCTTTGAGAATATGTTGGCAGCGTGACTAAATAATTGCAAAGCTTTCTTTGATGACTTTAGATCATGCCAGCCTTAAAATATAAGTTAATTCATTCTGGCATGCTGTACAATTAAAAACTATTTTTTCCTGTTGAGACGCGAACACCCCGAGGCGAGATAAGCTTGCCTCAGAATACTCCCATTACGACGTTACAAGGGAACACAGAGAAAAACAACTGGATGCGTGCGCCTGCCATAGACCCCATTTTCAAGTGACCAATGAACGGGCTCGGAATAGTCATGCAGGGATTTGTAGGTCACATACATTTGCTGCGAGAGTGAGGGGAAAATGGCCGGTCTCCGTGCAAAGCCGCTTTGGATAGGGGGGTAGTCGTGCATTTATTCTAAACAACTACTTGACATAGAACCTTCAAATTTGAGGACACTATAGAGGAAAGATAGATCTATTACCCTCTCGGCGTTTAAAATCCTGCTCTTTATAGTTTTCGGTATACCCGATACGAAAGTGTTCCCGACACCTAAAGTATAGCTTAATTTATATGTGTACGAACTTCAACGTCCACATATTATTAGTTAGCCCTATTTTCTGATTGGTTGCCAAGTGTCATTTACATTGGTCCAGAAATAGAGCAGACCGGGGTTGAGAAAGTTAATCGCTTACGTTCCAACCCGTTCCAAGAATTCACCTGCTAACGGGGACCAAATTTTCGCCACATGCATTGCTAATTATAGCTCACGTCTCGATTTGTATCATTATAATCGAAAAATATTTCATAAATGCTGGAAATGTTTAGGAACAAGGGTCGGAAGTTGAAAGTGACGTCATGCTGTTTGAGATTTTCGTCATCCGGGGGAACAACTGTTTAATTACTGATATTGGAACATCCTATAATATAATAGCGTGTCTCCTTTCTTTACTTTAGCCTTAGTCACGTTCAACAATAGGTCGGATCCAACTAGGACAACAAGCCGGTCCCGGCAACTTCGTTGAATGCGACGCCCACTGTATCAGGAGACATATCCGACCTTTCCTACTCTCTAGCAATGTTTTATCGATCGTCTGCTGTCGTCTCCATTCTCTGCCCCCACCCCCTCACCTCATTTACCCCCTTTTCTGGGTTTCTGACTCTTTCTGCAGCCTTTCTACTGCTACTCCTTGGCTCCTATTTACTGCTGCCTTTCAGCCACACCCCTGATCTTCTGGTAGGAAAGATCTACACCTAGCCTTCTCAGACAAGGGTGAAAAATCTCGGAGATCCTGTGTGCAAGTTGAGCACGTTAAAGATCCCTTGGTGGTCTAAAATCAATAAGAGTAGGCTTCGGCCGCCACCTACGCAAAATTCAAAATTTCCTATGGACTGAAAATGTTAAATGTGTTCCTCGCGCTCATGTGACCTTATGCAGCTGCGAACCCCATAAAACACTTACCAAGAAAAGAGACATAGTTTCTCTCTGACAGTCTCTTGTCTTTATGTTGCACTTAAAATATCACATTCATTGTGTAGCAGAGTTTTGAAAGTTTTTCTTCCATTAATACAAAAAGGAGATGATAAAGGTTTGTGGCAAAATAATGAAAAGGTCTAGGCTTTCTCCTTAATTTCAAATTCAATGTCTTTCTCCTTGTTACTCTTAAATGGTCTTTTATTTTTACTTTCTGCTTCTGATTTATGATGAAGCTTGAATAGTGTATGATTGATATCTGAAATTCATATGAAGTAGGTTCTTCTATTTTGAGTGGTTTTCTGGAAAAGGTTATAGCATTAGGTTTTCTTTGTGGCAGAAAATGTTTGTTACTAAGTGAAGTGGGCGACTTGTGGTCTTTCTCATTCAAAAGGTTCAGGGATGGAAACCTAACAGCGATGAAAAAATATACTTCTCTAAAATGTTTTCCTTTCACCTCTTTTCTTGTTCTCTAGTCCTGTTCTTTCATCTGCTTTCATCTCTACTTTCTCGGATAAAGGCGAAAAATCATAGAGATCCTGTGTGCAAGTTGCACATTTGTATATCCCTTAGTGGTCCTAAAATTGATGAGTAGTCTTTAGCAGTCACCCAGGTATAATTGAGAATTAATTTCCTACCAAAACTGAAAATGCTCTAGTCAGTGTAAAAACATATAATAATAGAAACCCTCAAAATGGAAATGTTGCTGCCAGGAGGCAAGGGGCCCTACTAAGTTGGAAAAATAGTCGCCTGCATTGAAATCAGTTACATTGCAGGTTGAAGAAACCTTGAGATCTAGTTGAGGATAGCAAAGAAAAAGAAGGACAAGGCATAAATGAAGGATATGTGGATTTAGTTAGTATGATGTCCAGTGTCAACATTTATTTTATAAACAAAACTGACCTGCCTTGTTTGTGAATTGAATTGTCTTGAGCAGAAAAAACTGTTTCATGAAAAAATTGTTTTTCTTTTAATTTTTTCAGCATCTCTTGAAAGTCAAGGCATCGTGGAGGATGAGAATATTGAAGTAAAAGCAACTTCCAGTATGTCTTCAGTGAGCAGCTCTTCCCAAGGAAGGAGTGTGCAGCAGAGAGAGAGTTCCAGTGTAGGCAATCTGTATACTTCTGTACCATATGGTTCTGGAGCTTCCAGTTCTCAACGTTCATTGAGTCCAAACTCTGGCCTTGCTGTGCCGCATGTGGCCACATCAAGATTGGCCTCTGTAGAGCTGAAAAAAGATCTTAATGAGCCCAACGCTAAGTCTCAGGCACAGAGCACGAGAGGACGTAGGTCTTCCATTCGACCGTTTTTCTGTTGTGGAAGTGAATTGTCACTTGTAAGTCTAGTGGATGGATTAGAATTGAAAGAAAGTCATCCTCAGGGTAAAAAAGTGGATAAAGCTAGGAGTGGTTGCTCGACAGAAGAAGAAGGTTCACTTCTTCAAAGTCAGCCAACCTGTAGGCTAAGTGAAGTTTCATCAGCAAAAGGAGCCTCAAATCAAGCAGTTGTTAGAAGAAAGAAAAAAGAGAAGCAAAATCTGAAAAAGAAGTTTGGGAGTCTTCGCTTCAGGGGCAGGTGGAACCCTCGTCTTCGCTCATCACAACCGTCTCGCTCTGCAAGTTATCGCTGTGACCTGTCCCACCACAGCCCCGCGACGGGATGTCCTGGGACATACCACATTGTGGGTTCCCCTGGCTCCAGCAGGCAATCCCCAAGAACAAGGCCATTGTCTGCTGCCAGTCACCTCATTGACTTGGCAAGTGTTCATGACTTTGACAGATTGTATCCAGTGGAAGACATGCATGACATCATTGTCAGGGAAAGAGCAGAAGAAATAAACTCAGGAATAGAAGTTGATGCAAGTCTTTTTGCAAGAAATTTCCGACCTCACCACGATGCTTCTGGTTCTGCTTTGGCGGAAGGAAGACTGAGGTGTTTCTGTTCTTTCAATTCCGATTCAGTGCTGAACACCCCAGAGTCTCCCACTGAAGACTACTCTGTACTGATGAACAGTCTGGTACGACAGTTCCAGGGACCAAGAAGTGGATCTGTCTGTGATGGGCACATGTCACCCCGCATACACACTCAAGTTGACTTCATCCACTGCCTTATGCCCGACCTTGTTCACATCATGTCCTGCCCGTTTTACTGGGGAGTCATGGATAGGTACGAAGCCGAACGTTTACTGGACAATAAGCCGGAAGGCACTTTCCTTTTGAGAGACAGTGCACAGGAGGACTTCCTGTTTTCTGTGAGCTTTCGACGTTACAATCGGTCACTCCATGCCCGGGTCGAACAGTGGAATCACAGATTCAGCTTTGATGCTCATGACCCAGCTGTGTTCTCTGCTCCAACGGTGTGTGCTTTGATGGAGCACTACAAAGACTCAAGTCTGTGTATGTTCTTTGAGCCCATGCTTACAAGGCCTTTGCCAAGGAATTTTGTATTTTCTCTCCAGCACATTTGTAGATCTGTAATTTGTGACAAGCTGAAGTATGATCAAATTAGAGTCTTGCCAATACCAAACAGTCTCAAACAATTTTTACAAGTTTATCACTACAAACAGAAAGTTCGTGTGCGGCATTTTGATGGGCCAGAAGTGGCATATGCTGATACAAACTTAGTTATATAAGTTTGTGAATTCAAAGCCTTCTCTCAAATCAGGGCCACGGTGTTCAACACATAGAATTTGTAAGTTGAGCTTGTCCAATTGAACTGAACTGTACAAACATATTTTCGAGAGCATGCTCTGGTGATGTTGGGTTCAAATTAGTTTTATTTTTACAATGTGTTTCATGGTTTATCATATGTAAATTATGTAAAGTTCTGACCTTGAAAAAAAAAGGTTTAAAGGTTTTTGATGTGAGGACAGGTATGTAATATTTTTGCATACAGGTGATAAGTATTGAATACTGTCCACACAAATGGGATTGTTGCAACAATGTTTGAATACAGTAATGATGCAGTATTATTCTTGGTGAAAATACGAGGTGGTTATTATAATGATCATAGCACAAGTGCCTGGGTCATTTTTATTTATTTGTTTATTTTTTATATTTTTATGTAAATGTTTTTACATCCCCGTTGACACAATTTTAGATCATTTGGAAGGCAGGCTTCTGACCCTGCCCCCTGCCTGTCAGGACCAGCCCGAGTTGAGAGGGATACAATACCTCAGCAGAAAGACTGAGATACACAAAAAAAATTCTCCCCACTCTGGAATCAAACTTTGGTCTCCTGTGCGGTGTTTAAAGCGTCTGACCGCTACACTACAGACGCTGGTGTCTTAAAAAATGTTTTGGTTACATAGTAGAAGTGATTCTTACAGACTGTGAAAGGAAACCAATCCAAGCATTGGTCCCTTTCTCTAGTATAGCAAGCAGGAGTGTTAGTGGATCATAAATTAAAGTACTTGTGATTTACATAATAGGTGTCTGCTTTCTTCTTCAAGTGCCAGATCTGAAACAGACAATGGCGATCATGATTTGCCACTCTTTGCTCTGCCTGAATGCTGTAAAAAATTATATGTGCTATCCTGGTGTTCTCTCATCAGCAATCTGTTCATATTTACTAAGCAAGTTATTCTCAGCAATGATGACTCAAACATCCCAAAAAGTGACACAGGCACTTGTACGATGACAGTGATGATATGTTCTTTGTGCTGACTCATAAAGAAAAAAATGTAAATTATGTACAGTTTAGTGATATCTTTTTTGGAAGAGAATTTTGAAATCATTATTATACCTGGAGAGGGTATTGTATAATTTATTTCAATGGGATTGTTTGCCTTTTTCGTTGGGGAAAATTGAATGTCCTTTTCTTCAGCCATGCTATGTGGAGTGAGGTGCTTTTGAGGTTTTGAGTTTTTTAGAAGAATACAGTATATTGTGTGGTTGCAGAATTGAATAATAAAACGTGGTGATTTTATCAGAATGAGCACAAGGACAGAAAATAATATGTCCAGATGGTCAAAGGCTTACTTATGTTGACTTTTTTATGAAATTGGTTTGTCTATCTGAGGGGCATTATATTTATGTTACACACAGGTATTGATTGTGTGTAAAAAATGTATTTCTTTTTCCAGCAATGACAGTGAACATATTTATATCAGTCCATCTATTACTCTGTTGAGAGAATCTGCCCTGCACCTTGTCTTACATTATCACTGCAGTTATTTATGAATTTGGTGCTTTTTCCATCTTTGACTTTCAAATCCCAACCTTTTACATTTAATGCTATTTTTTAAAGGTGATAAATATCTGGACGCATTTGTTTTCTTCTCCTGCCTTATAGTTGCCCCGTCCTTTGGTACACTCATATTATATGGATAAACATGATGCAGAGGTAAACTATGTGTAAGGGCTTGCTCTTTTTTTGTTTGTTTTTGTTAATAAAAAGTGTTTGAAATGCTGTACTTTTGAGGCCAATATCAATAAGGCTGGCCTACGTACAAAGTGTCATACTTGTGCCTGGATAGGAATACATTGTCCCTCTGAGTTCAGACCCTCAGAATTAGAATTTTACCAAGTTGTATTTGATAGATCCATTTTTTCTTGCACTGAACAGTATGGTCCTTTTCCCCCCTGTCCTTAAGAAGATCTTTCTTGATTTCTCACAGTAGCTGGCCACATTATATGTTTACTGGTCAGGCTCCAGGGAAAAGGGGGG